TGGGCAGGTGAACTAAACAGAACTTTCTCAAAAGAAGAAATTCAAATGGCCAGAAAACACATGAAAAAATGCTCACCATCTCTAGCAATAAAGGAAATGCAAATTAAAACCACACTAAGATTCCACCTCACCCCTGTTAGAATAGCCATCATCAGCAACACCACCAACAACAGGTGTTGGCGAGGATGCGGGGAAAAAGGAACCCTCTTACACTGTTGGTGGGAATGTAGACTAGTACAACCACTCTGGAAAAAAATTTGGAGGCTACTTAAAAAGCTGGACATCGATCTACCATTTGATCCAGCAATACCACTCTTGGGGATATACCCAAAAGACTGTTACTCCAGAGGCACCTGCACATCCATGTTTATTGCGGCACTATTCACAATAGCCAAGTTATGGAAACAGCCAAGATGCCCCAGCACTGACGAATGGATTAAGAAAATGTGGTATCTATACACAATGGAATTTTATGCAGCCATGAAGAAGAACGAAATGTTATCATTCGCTGGTAAATGGATGGAATTGGAGAACATCATTCTGAGTGAGGTTAGCCTGGCCCAAAAGACCAAAAATCGTATGTTCTCCCTCATATGTGGACATTAGATCAAGGGCAAGCACAACAAGGGGATTGGACTATGAGCACATGATAAAAGCGAGAGCACACAAGGGAGGGGTGAGGATAGGTAAGACACCTAAAAAACTAGCTAGCATTTGTTGCCCTTAATGCAGAGAAACTAAAGCAGATACCTTAAAGCAACTGAGGCCAATAGGAAAAGGGGACCAGGAACTAGAGAAAAGGTTAGATTAAAAAGAATTAACCTAGAAGGTAACACCCACGCACAGGAAATCAATGTGAGTCAATGCCCTGTATAGCTATCCTTATCTCAACCAGCAAAACCCCTTGTTCCTTCCTATTATTGCTTATACTCTCTCTACAACAAAATTAGAGATAAGGGCAAAATAGTTTCTGCTGGGTATTGAGGGGGGGAGCGGGAGGGGGTGGAGTGGGTGGTAAGGGAGGGGGTGGGGGCAGGGGGGAGAAAAAAAAAAAAAGAATCATTGACTTAGAGAATAAAGGTACAAGTGGAACAGAAGGAGAAGCCAGCACTGGAATTAAAATTAGCTGATAATTCACAGCACAAACTAACATCAAATAATCATTACACTATGGATCTGTTGGCAACGGGGTGCAGGCTTGATCAGAAGACTTCCAAATTGTGTTCCACTGGGAAGAATCCATAGAGGACATGTAGCTGAAAATGAAGTTTATTAAAATTAGGAAAGGGAAATACAAAAGGGAACATGGTGGGACTCAGGTGGAATTTGGAAGCAAAGAGCATGCTTCTCTTCTCCAGATGCTTTAAAAACCTATGCTAACCTATAGGAAGGGAAGAACCAGGTGATTCCCATCCAATAATCAATGAGTGGGAAGGGGTGTGGGTGGCTCTTGAACCAGATGTCGCATGACTATAGTGGATTCACAGGTATTTTAAATGTTGTTTAGGTATTTTAAATTAATAAAAAAATCAATATTTAGCAATAGAAAGATAGTAACTGGAGGTGTGGCTCAAGCAATAGAGAGCTTGCCTAGGAAGCATGAAGTCCTGAGTTCAAACCCCAGTACCGTACTGCCAAAAAGAAAAAAGAAAAGAAAGCAAGAAAGATATGTGTGGGGAATTAGTTAAAAAAATGGAACACTTAAAAAATCCATAAATTTCCCAGACAAATTACTTAAGGATATTTATTCCTTTGAAAAATCTTTGGGATTGGATTGGAGGTGTAACTCAAGAGGCAAAGTGCCTCCAAACGTGAAGCCCTGACTTCAAATCCCAGTCCCACCAAAACAAAAGCAAAAACAAAGATATTTGGGATCATAAGCTGGAAGCAAGGAAAGGACACTTTTTCTTACTGTTTGGGATTTTTAGATAGGAATTTTTAAGCATGTCGTGATATTTAGGATATTTGCAAGAATAGCTAGGCAGAATGAATATTTTCTCCAGGCAGGTACTAGAGTGAGGTTAAGTGGAAAAACAATAAATATTTGACTCTACATTTATAATCATAAACATATTAAAAGAAAGATGTGGAAAATGCACATAATCCTGTTAAAAAAACTTTCATGACAGCAAATTATATACATGAGGATGATTCATGTCTTGATAATGCAATTGTGCTTATAGAAAAACATTAAAGGAAAATTTAAAATGTTAAGTAGTTACTCTGGAGTTAGGTATGAGGATTTTTCAAAATGTCAGGTATGACATATGTTTTGAGAAAAATGATGAGGTATTACTTTCATATTGAAAAAGGAAACACAATTAAGGGCTGGGGATGTAGCTCAGTTGGCAGAGCAGGTGCCTACCATGCACAAGGCTCTGGGATTGATCCCCAGCACTGGAGAAAAACTAAAACCAATCAAACAAAAAACAAGTACTGCAGAAAATCTGTATTAAGCACTCAGAAAAAAAAAATCAGCAAAATACAATCTGGTTGATTTGGTGAGATAGAATTGGGAGTGTTTTCCCTGTCTTTCAATGATTTTTTCATGTTGATCATTTTTCCTATAATGAGCCTGTATTTCTTCTTATAGTCAAAATTAAAGTTATTTAAAATAAAGCTCAAATCCTGTTTCCTTGCTTGCAATTTTGTCATCTGACAAAGGAAAGTGGGTGGAGTATTCATAGAGCAGTTTAAAGATTAGGAGTCAGTTCAGGGGGATGGTAAACATTTTCTGTAAAGGGCCATATAGTAAATATCTTATGCTTTGTGGACACATGGTCTCTGTTGCAATTACTCAGCCCTGCTATTGTAACAGATGCAGACAGACAATAGACAAATGATCAGGAGGGACATGTTCCAAACAAACTTAATTTATAGGACTACTTTTAGGTTTTATATGATTTTCCCATATTATCAAATATTACTCTTTTTTTGATCCCTCATGCCAAACATTTAAAAATGTTAAACCACTTTCAGGCCATATATAGGCGAGAGGCTGGATTAAATCCACAGGCTATAATTTGCTAGCTTTTTTTGGTGGTACTGGGGTTTGAACTCAGGTCTCACACTTGCTAGGCAGGCACTCTACCACTTGAGCCACTCTGCTAGCTCTTTTTTTTTTTTTAATGTATGCTGGGTTTTTTCAAGATAAAGTCTATCAAACTATATTTGCTTGGGCTGGCTTTGAACTGTGATCCTCCTGATCTTTGCCTCCTGAGTAATCAGAATTACAAGAGTGAGCCACCGGCACCCAGTCTGTATTCACTAACTCTTGAGTTTGATGAAATCAGGATTCTGATGAATGAAACATACCAGTGATGCTGAAAGTCCCCAATAGATATGGACAATAAACTTTTAATGTGTGATCTCTCTGCATCTTTTTTTCTTTAAAGATTTGCTATTCACTTTACTGTCTTAGGAAATGATGCTGTTTTGTTGAAACATTAATATAGGAACAGTATGCAAATCCAGGTTTATAAAGTTTTTTTTTCTGTGCTAGGCATTTGTGGAATGATGAGGAACATATATCTTTACCATAAGTTGCAATTAGGTATAAACAGAATACGGTAGGATAAAATAAGGGGGGAAGAAATTCTGCTTATGGGAGATGACTGCTGACTGAGGAAATTTGTAAGAAACATTACAGTAGGGAGACTTGATAATCATTGTGGAAAAAACAAGCAATGCAGAAGACAAATAATTTAAACTACCAGTATTGATCATAACATTAATACTACTAGGAACAATTACCTTTGTGCAACACACAAACTTTTTAATAGTTTAGGAAGAAAAAATGGTTTGTAAAAGAATTAGTCCTGAAGAAAATCATACCATAGGCTGAAGGTAGCAACTTTTTCCATAGCATATGGCATTATCTTTGTTTCTCACCCTCAGAAAACCTCTTCCAGATTCTTTTTCCTATTGCAACAAAAATAACAGGTAGTGAGGGAAGCCACAAAAGTTGCTTCCCCAGTCAATATAACATGTAGAAAATAATTGGAGGACCAATTTCTTTGTTTTTTAAATTATGCAAAAATCATATAAAAGCAATTGAGTAAAACTGGTTTGGGACAATTTATGTTTTCTAAAATGCTGACCAACAGCTAGCGGTTTTTCATTTAATTTAACAAACATATCTTCCTATATCTATATCTATCTATCTCTATCTATCTATCTATGTGGATTTACAGTGGCAAGCAGGCCACCCTAGATTCTGGACATCTCAAAAATGACATGCCCTGGGTTCCACCTAAAAGCACTGAAGAAATCTTTTCATCATCATTGTCTTTATGCTAAATTTCTAGGCCCACCAACCGTATTGGGGTGCCGTGTTTCACACCGACTAGAAAGTGCATTCTGTTTCTGAAGAGCTGTGCACGAAAGTTCATGTGTTACATCACAGAAACCGAAGTGGGAGGACTAACCAAATGCCATTTGGACTGGAAAAGCATCTTGACACCTCCTCCAGCCAGCTCAGTCCCAGAGCGGTAGAAATACAGAAATTTGTATTTGGGCAATCCAAGGTCGCCTTCTAGCTGCAGTCCCTGTTACAGTATTGCATCACGTAAAACCCATTTAAAGAAATAATTCAGTTCCTTAGACCTGTCCTTACAACTAAAGCACACATTCATTGCAAGGTAGGTGTCTAGAAGCACCCTCGCAGCCTTAACGCTGCATGAAAGGGTCGGAGGAGGTCAGGTGTTTTTGCAAAACTCGTGTTTCTTTCAGCCAGTAATCTTCGGGTATCTTAAGAAAAACGTTAGCTACAAAAAAGGCTGTCATTTGTTTTAGGATATTTTTATTCCAGACATGCTCCTGAACCAAACCCACAGCCCAGGGGAGGCGAAAGTCTCCAACCTTCGCCTTCACCCCTCCCCTCCCCCTCCCCCTTCCCCCTCCCCCTCCCCCAGCGCAGACCGCGCCCACGCCAGTTCACGCCCCCGGCCCCACCCACCGAGGCCGGAGAGTCGTTCTCCTGGTCACAGTCAGGAAGCTCCGCCCCGCAGGGACTTCCGGCCAGGCGGTAACTTCCGTCCGTGGATCAAACGGGGTGAGTGGTCCAAGCCTCCAGGGGCGTTCCCGGAAGTGACGCGAACCGCACCTTCCATTTTGTGGAACGCCAGAACAACTAAGTGCGTCAGTCGTCGAGAGACGTAGACGAGTTGAGTGCTGGTTTGCGGGGAGGCCGACAACTCCGTCGCAGATTACGGGCCTCTCTGGGTCTCAGCTGCCAAAGACCCTGTCCGGTAGGTGAGTGGCTCGCTTTGAGGGCAAGGCTTCTCGGATCGAGGCTTCTTCATGGCCGCTCAGGTCGCGAGTGGCGGGGGCTGCTCTCTTTGCGGAGGACGGAGTCTAATGAGCGCAGCTGATTGAGGTGGGCGCTGGGGCACGTCTCTCTTTGGTACTGCTTGAGGGCTGCTCAAAGTGGAAGGGGGGGGGTCGGGCGCCCTTCCCTGCTTCGCTTTTACGTTTTCATGATCCTGAGCCCTGTAGGGCCGATACCAGGGGCTTTCCCCACGATGCCGTTAGGGCTTCTTGCAGAGCGAGCACAGCTACGGGAAGTCGGGCTCGAAGAGGAAGTTGGGCACGCGCGCCTTTTCCCCCACCGCCTTTTCCACAGTAGCCATTTTGTGCTGCCGTGCAGCCGTCTGCGCAGGCGCGGCCGTGGCGTCGCGAGATTCCGGCTTCTATCCCCCCTCCCCCCGTGCTGTGACGCTCCTGGGAGGGGGCGATGCGCACGCGGCTGGCCGCCATTGGGCTGGGCTCGCGGAGGGCGGGGTCGGCTCCGCCCGCGCTTCTCGGCCTTTCCTAACTGCGGCAGATGGGAGGGGGCCGGGGAGCCGGGGACGCGGTGCGGCTGCGCAGTTCCGAGAGGTGGCAGTGGGCGTTGCGGTGCTTACGGTCTGGAACTCGGGAGGGGGTCCTGTTGTAATTTTGTCTGCAAGGGACCTGGAGTCATTAGGAGGCGTTATTGGCAGCCTTGGGTTTTGTTTTGTAACGGCGCTGAGTACAGTTTTATGCCGTTTTTATGTGTTTCATCGCCAGGCGTTTCTCTGCGCTATTCACGGCGTTATCTCGACTGAATTTCATCCTAACAGGAAATACTAGCCGGGCATCATGAGTGGCTGTCGAGTGTTCATCGGGAGGTTAAATCCAGCGGCGAGGGAGAAAGACGTGGAAAGATTTTTCAAGGGGTACGGACGGATCAGAGATATCGATCTGAAAAGAGGCTTTGGTTTTGTGGTAAGTATTTTAGAACGGGGAGGGGGAGGGGAGAGATTATGATCTTTTAAGTCTGATGAAAGTGTTTCTGATCTTAAATTAGTTCAGGCAGAATGTTTCCAGAAAATGTTAACAGTTTTTAGCCTGTTGAATTTTAAGGATTGAATTTTAAGGATTAAAATAATCTAACTGTTGGCTGGCTGGAACCCACTCCCAACTGCCCCTTCATTAGGTTTATGTGTGTTGTGTTAAAGATTTTACTCTTTTCAACCATCTCAACATTTTTACTGCTTCCGATGTGTAGAATTCATGTTTAAAACCCCACTAAGCATCTTATGGTTAACATTTTAGGAATTTGAGGATCCTAGGGATGCGGATGATGCTGTATATGAACTTGATGGAAAAGAACTTTGCAGTGAAAGGTGAGAATCTTAGTTTTGTAACTAGTGAGTCTTGGAAAATAGAAAACATCAGCTGCAATATGCACAAGCATATAATGTGTATTTTTCCTTTGTATAGGGTTACTATTGAACATGCTAGGGCTCGGTCTCGAGGTGGACGAGGTAGAGGACGCTACTCTGACCGTTTTAGTAGTCGCAGACCACGAAATGACAGACGGTATGTAATGGGTGAATGGCTGATTTGAACAATCATTAGTGCAGATGCAGTATTTAAGATTAAGAAAATGATAGCAATAAATAAATGTTAAAGGACTGTTCGTGATGAGTCCATACAATGAGAATAACAGTTGATGGAAGTCATTTAAATTACTTATTTCTGATTGTATCTAAACATAAATACACATAACACTGCATTTCTCCCATTGTGAATTCTCATTTTCTTCCTCAGAAATGCTCCACCTGTAAGAACAGAAAATCGACTTATAGTTGAGAATTTATCCTCAAGAGTCAGCTGGCAGGTTTGTTGAAATACAGTTTTGAGTTATTTCAATGTGGCTTTTTAAAATGTTAATGGGTAGTTAATTTTATTGATAATGTTTTATTAAAAGTAGTTTTATCATTAAATTAATGGATTAATTGTAATTTTAAATTTTAATTAAATGTAACTGGGGGATATTTCAAATTTTAATACTAGTGATCTAATGTAAATGTTTTGAGGATATTTTTTCATGTTTTTTAAAATCAATTTTAACCAAATATTAAACCCTTTATTTGCCAGCCTATCTGTGTCGTTGGCCTTATGACGAGGAGTGCCTGTGGGTTATCCTAATCGTTGTCTTGGTCACTCTTGGTTGGGCCTGGTTGACTTTGCCAGTCAGCTCCTACAGTGATCAATTGGCCACCTCTAGATCTGTGTTTGCCGGTCTAGACGTAATCGGTGCACTTACTTGAAGTGCCGGGTTGCAGCGATCCCAGAGCGTTGATAACGTGATCTGATCCCTAAGTTGAGAGCTGTCTTCCTGTAACGCTTCCGAATAAGAGGTCCTGGTCGAAAAGAGTTGAAAGATACGAAATTAGTTGGTCGTTGGAATCCTGATCGCAGTAAAGTGGTCCCTGGTAACTGCACAAGAGTAAAACATGTCTGCATCGCCAGTAGTCTGCTAATAGGGAGGGCTGTGCGATTAAAGGCTTCCATCGATTGGGTAGTATCCTTCAAGTGGGTGGCGAAGAGCCAGTCGGGCCTATGTCATGAAGGTTTCTCCGACCGATTAATGATTTGCTGCTTGACTAGCCTAGGGAAATATTAATAAAGGTAAAGTAAATTTTTTTAATGACATATGGGGCACAAAATAACTGGTGTCTTTGTAAATGTTCTGTTTTTTTAAATATAAAACTTCTATTTTAGTTTTAAAATATGTACTGTTTCTTTTTTTGTTTTGTTTTTTATTTTATTTTTTTCCTTTTGTACTGAGCTCAGTATAGACTAATACTCCTTTAATGTTAAAATCTGAATTTCCTCTAGCATTTGCTTAAAAGCAATGTGCTATTTGCTTATTTCGTGCCCTGACATAATTTTTGAATTTTGATAGAATACAAGTGTGGTATATGCCATGTTTGTACTTTATCTAACAACTTCTCTTTCAGTAGTCTTGTTTTTATACCATGTGGTTGTTTGTGTGTCACCTTTCCTCTTCTCCCCTTAACATGATTGTCTTGTGTTAAGGATCTCAAAGATTTCATGAGACAAGCTGGGGAAGTAACCTTTGCGGATGCACATCGACCTAAATTAAATGAAGGGTGAGTATGTACTAGAGATTGTGAACCTTTTGAAATATCCTGACAGTTTTCCTGTGAACATTTCTGGAGACTTAAAATTTGCACATGCTTGATTGTGGTGGTTCTCTAGGAGACAGTTTTGTTTCTTAGGGTCATTTGGCACAGTGTCTGTAAACAGGTTACTGGCACATGGTTATTGATACAGTTGTCATCTAGTGGGGAGAAGCCAGGCATGCTGTTAACGTAAACATCCCACAGTGCACAGGAGAGTTCTCCTATGACAGTGTTTCTGGCTCAGAATGTCAGCAGTGCCAAACCCTGTCAGAAATAAAATTTAATATAGTGATAGCAAAATGAGTTACAGCAACTAATTTGTGTAGACTGCTATGTACAGTGTGCGAGACTGTGGGGTATATGTACTTTAAATGCCTTCTTTCATTTTAGGGTGGTTGAGTTTGCCTCTTACGGTGATTTAAAAAATGCTATTGAAAAACTTTCTGGAAAGGAAATAAATGGGAGGAAAATAAAATTAATTGAAGGCAGCAAAAGGCACAGGTATCATTAATTTTTTTAAGTCAAATTTTTTATTTAATGGATTTGTAGGGCTTGACATGTAGCTGACTTTGTTTTCTTTCTATTGTCTCACCCTTCTTATAGTAGGTCAAGAAGCAGGTCTCGATCTCGGACCAGGAGTTCCTCTAGGTCTCGTAGCCGGTCTCGTTCTCGTAGTCGCAAGTCTTACAGCCGATCAAGAAGCAGGAGCCGGAGCCGGAGCAAGTCTCGTTCTGTTAGTAGGTCTCCTGTGCCTGAGAAGAGCCAGAAACGTGGTTCTTCAAGTAGATCAAAGTCTTCAGCATCTGCGGATCGCCAGAGGTCCTGGTCTTGGTCCAGGTCCAGATCAGTTGACAGTGGCAATTAAACTGTACATAACTTGCCCTGGGGACCTTTTTAAAAACAAATTCCCAAACCATACTTGCTAAAAATTCTGGTAAGTATGTGTTTTTCTGTGGGAGTGGGATTTGGAGGGGGTTTGGGTTGGGCTGGATTTGTTTGTAGATGTGGACCACCAAGGGGGGTTGTTGAAAACTAATTGTATTAAATGTCTTTTGATAAGCCTTATGCTCACATTTTTGTGAATGTCGAAGTATATAGTTTGTGTATATTGACAGAGCTGTTTTATAACTAAAGCAAATTTAATTTTTTTGTACTAGAAAAAAATTGAGCATTTTAGTTCCTGGTTGTTCAAATATGTTAATTCAGATTTAGTTTCATGCCTCAAACTAATTAATAGCTTTGGACACTTAAAAGAGCTCTAAATTTCCTTGTATATAAATGCTTGAGTTTTCCTTGTTAGGGTCAAGGGTTTCCTCACCCACCCTTAAACAGCTGCATTACAGACACTTTAAAGCAGCTGTTTGTTATTGATAATAAAATATTATAAAACTGTTTGAAGGAGTCCTACACTATTTACTTCACCTTGCTTTCTTCATTTTACTATGTTTAAAATGACACATGTAAAGTCCTGAATTTGTTTGGTTTGGCCTTCTAAATATTTTTGGTATTTCTAGGCTAGGGAAAAAGGGCCTAGAAGTCAGTGAGTAGTTGAAAACAGTGTCATCCTTAATAGTTGAGCTAAATCTTCTGTCTGTGTTCCTCCTGTGCTTTTATCACCTATTGTATTGAGGACAGGATATTTATAGTAATAGGACAATGTTTGAGAAGCAAACCATAAAATCTAATGTTCTTGCCTGCCTTAACAGTTAACAGTAGTGTTCAAAAATGATACAAAGACATGTATACAAACATGAAAGTTGAAGGGATTTTCACATACTTCTGCTTTTCTGAGATGTAAATAGAGACTATAAATGGGGGAAATTTAACAGTTAATGTGCTTGCTAGAATGCTGTGCTTTGACCCTTCACACTGCTCTGTAAGTGTAGGAAATGAGCTCATTTGCTTTAGGAATCTCAAAAGGCTAGCTTTTTGTAGGCTAGTTTAGGTAAATATTTGGTAACAGAATATAATGCTTAAATCTTACTATAGTAGTAAGGTACTCAGGAAATTGAGGGACTTTTTTTTTTTTTTAAGATAGGTTCTCAGTATGTAGTCCTGGAACTCATCCTTCTGCCTTGGCCTCCTGAGTGCTGGGATTATAGGCATGAATTACCATCATTGGCTTTAGGGACTTTACAGAGGACAAGGGAGTGTTAGAATTCAGGGTTTATGTCTATGGGCTCCAGAACTGCACACAGTTCTGGTTTCAGAAAGGTGGAATTGGTATTAGTGTAGATGGGCAGAGTAGGATTCACCATTTGGGAACAGGTTTGAAAAGTTTTGATAGCCCTGGCGTTCCCACTTGATCCAAGATTAGGATGTGGGCCATGAAATACTGCTGATCCTTCTGATAGGCTGAATCTAGGAAGGGTTGTGGTGTACTTATTTACTCAAGGATTTTCTCAGAAAGTTGTACAAGACCAGTCTGAAGTTGCCATCAAAGACAATTTCCCCTCCTTTGATCCTTAAGATACATTCAGGGTAGCATGGCAATTACATAACTTAATACTTTATTCTTCTTTACATCTGAATTCATAATAAGACTTCCTGCTTTTAACCTTCACAAGTACTTGTGAAGGAATAAAACAACCCCTTTGAAAACATGTCAGAGAAGTAAAAGGTTCCAAAAGGCGAGTCAGTATGAATTAAGATAACCTAACTACACTCAGGATTGAGAAGTCCTGAGCAGTGCAAATGTGAGGCTAACGAATGTTTAGGACCATCTTTTTACAACATGATGTAGCCTTTGGTTTCTGTGTTTTTATCTAGTTCTTGAAGGGTAGTTTTGAGGGTGATAAATTTGAAGTCAGACCTTAACCTTCAAAAGCTAAACTTATTTTTACAGTATTTTGTTGTAGTAACTAAGTCTGAGCAGATTGATGTCAGCTGAATATTGAGAAAACAGTTTGAACAGATAATACACATATGGATGTAATCTGTAAAAATATCAGGGAGTAGACTTGGAAAATCTGAAAAACCTGGGCTGGCCATAGTGATATATACCTGTAATTTCAGCTATGTAGAATTTGGAGGTAGAATTTCAGTCTGAGGCTGGCTATGGGCAAAAAGCAGAAGACTGAAAAATTAAAGCAAAGTGGATTGCTAGGTAAGGGCATGGCTCAAGTGATAGATGGCCTGGGTGTAAGGCCTTGATTTCAAACCCCAGTACTGGGGGGTAAAGTAATGGGTCACATTGGTGATTCTTGTTCTGGTATTGTGAGAACTTGTTAGTCTTGTGCATTTGTCAAACTGGTGCCCTAAGTTGGTTTCAGTTGTACTTGATCATTATAGGAAATTGACAAGTAACTAGGCATGTCAGGTGTATGCAAGTGTTGTATTTGCTGTTTATTAATCTTGTAATGCTTGTTTGCATTGAGTAAAGTGCAAAATGCTTAAATTTAATTAGAGGGTATTTGAAATTTAGGAAGTTGAGTATTTTTCTTGGATCAGGAAGCCATTATTTGGCAGTAGTTTGCATGATCTCCCCAAGTTTTGGCGGTGCTTAATACCACTGGTAGGTAATGAAAGGACAATTGGATAGTAAAGTGAAATTCTGTTTGTTTCTTGGCTTTTTCTTTTAATTCTCTGCTTCTGGTATTCAGGTTGTGTGAACTGTTTTGAATTTTTTGTTTTAATTGCTTTTGCATTTTATTGTGTCCATTTTTTGTGTGCTTGATAAGTCATATTTGACTGTTCTCAGCTTTAATCTAAATGTTAAAGGGAAAGAATAGAATTTTTTTTAATAGGTTAGAACTTTAGTCTACCAACATTCCCTTTTGGGTCACAAAACTTGAAATGGGGTTTGGGTATTTGATTAATGGGTAAAACACCCGTTTATTGATTAGTTCAAAAATTGAATGACTTACATGCTTATCAGGCACTGTTGCAGAAGGCAGATGTTGTCTCTGCATTCATAGTTTGTAGTCACCAAGTTCTTTTATTTTCTAAATAATTACCAAATTCTAAGTTGGATGTGTAGATGATGCTCTGTCCTTCAGGCCAAGATTTGATGATTCTTTTGATAGGTTTGCTAGAAGTGAGGTTGTCAGAAGTGCTGGACAAAGGCTCAGACAAGCTTGGTGGTCTTTCATTTTTTGCTGCTCTTCTTTTGACCACACTGGCTTTCTAAATTGCCATCTTATTAGAATCTAGGCCATTGGGGGAAGGGCTAGGTTGTGCAAGGGGAGCACTCCTCTCCTCTTTTTGAGTGCCATTACCCAGAGCTTCTGGAATTGCTTCTTCAGTTGAGGCAGCTGTGTAGATCATTTTTGTTTTATCTGTAAAGTTAAAAAGGGTTAAAGGTGTGGAGGGAAAGGAGTAACACAAAGCTTGTTCAATCTGGGAAGAAAAGAGTATCAACTTTCTGCAGCATGCTATATGTGTATTGTTTTCTTATACTCCTCCAATGATTCAGATTTGAGATTTGCTTCCCTGTCTAATACTAGTAATAGTATTAATAGCTTATAAAATTATAGCATTGAGTTTTCATTAATCCCCCTACTTGTATATGTACAACAAAATATAGGGAAAATGGGTTTAAAAATGTAAGCAGTCACTTGCATCCTGGAAATAAGGAGTGGGCAGAGAGAAACAGCTTTAGGGAAATCAGACCAGGGGGGCTTCCCCCTTTCTCACTTCCCACATTGGTCACCTTTTCCTGCCTGTATGGAGGTGGTGAGGAACATTGAAGATGATGCATCCATTCTACCTTCCTTGTTCTTAGGGGGGCACAGGCGTCAAAAGCACAAACTTTTGTGACAGATTTTTCACTCTGGAAAGGGCTGCTCAAGGCCTTCAGCTCCAAAGAGATAATAATTGCTTTCACTTAGTTTTGTCACTAAAGTTCAGTACTATGAGGGTATTTCCTTTTAAACTTTTGAGAGCTAAAAATCTGGAGTATTGCCCCCTCAAAAAAAAAATTTTTTTTTTGGTGGTACTGCGAATTGAGCTCAATATTGCTCCTTAAAGGTCATTCAGGCCCTTTGGGACTAGAACTTTAAGCCTGAAACCTCTGGTTGGTGACTGTGTAGAAATTTCTTTCTTCTCTAGCACCTTTTTCTCCAGGTAATAGAGAGGGAATCTCATTGGGCAACAAATCTCCTTAAGTTGCTCTCAGATAAATCTCAGGCTTAGGTTCCTTCTAAAACTCTGCTGTAGTTTTGAACCATGGTTTATAAAATGGTTCTATAGTATGTCAGCCTTTTATTAGTTTTTGACTGATAACTAAAATTATTAACCACAAAGGAGCAAATCTGCATTGATAGCATAGTATAATTCCATTAAGGAAAGTTGTGTGTGTCTATTAGGATATAAATCACAATTCCCAAGAACTTAAAAAGGTCTTGAAGAGGCCTTAGTATTGTGAGAAGTAAGGCGTTCAAGGAATCAGGTGATGAGGGAAAACACACTGATGTTTAGAATTAAATAGATATAAAAGACATGGTCTGAAGTTGTAGCTTAGTGGTGGAGTGCTTGGCACCTGTGGGCTATGGGTTCAGTGTCCAATACCATAAAAGAAAAATAAATTGAGTTTATTTTGTTACAGTTACTACTTAATCCTGTGCTGGGGGTGTGGGTAAGTAGTAGAACTACTTGGCAAGTTTGAGGCCTTTTGTTCAAACCCCAATACAGGAAGAAAGAGAAAAATCCTCAACCTTTTAAGCTTGTACTTAAATTACTGTGTAACCAGAGTTGAATCCCTTTTTTGGGTTTTGTTAGGGCTGCAGTGCTTTAATGTGTTTTCCCAATTGCAACAAGGGTAGTAGTGCTAGGGCTCTGATCTGAGACCCAGTCCTAAATGCAGAAATGTCCTGAATCCTGTAAGTAGAGGGTGTTCACATAATCTCAACTGTCAGTTCTATTTCCTCATAGTGATAAATGGTCTCTCGGTCTCCCTACTTACACCAAATAGCCAAATCGCCTCAGTCCCATGAGACAAGCTCCATCTATTTGATGGAACTTCAGCTAGAAGGCAGAAATGCAGTGCAGCTAATGGAAATGGCCTTGGTTATGTGTTGGTTTTTGGTGGTACCTTGTTGCTAGTGAGGAATTAAAAGGCACATTCCAAAAGTTCCTAGTAGAAACTGGCTTGTTGTAGGTAAGTTCAGATTTGATATGAGAGTAGAACTTAAAGGGGGGATTGGTTGAATACTCACCCTTGGGAGGCTTGATTTTCTCATAGCACCGAAAGATGACAATGAAGAGAAATCCTTCCACAAGTTGAAAAATCATGTAGAGGAGAGGAAAGAAGAAAAGTGGTCCAATTACTTCAGGGGGAAAGGTCACATTAAGGATGGTAGAACAGAGTTGGACATTTTGGAATCCAGTCTCCATGCTGATGGTACGGCTGCACCTGTGTAAGAGGAAAAAAGTACTCAAGGACCTGAGGGAGCAACTGTTTGCTCCCCCCCACCGCCAGATACTTTAGGACCCAGTGTAGTTCAACATAAGATGGAAGGGAGCCAGGTTATGGACTAGATGTAGGTACAAGAAAGAGCAAATTGACTCATCTCCGCCATTCCAGTCCTATGGAGGATGACATTCTCCATAACATTAAGGAAGTTTTTATGAGGCTTTTTGAGTAGCTTGTAAATGTATGATTTATGTGTTTTTGTTTTTTTGGTGGTACTGGGGTTTGAACTCAACTTCATGCTTGCTAGGCAGGTGCTGTGCCGCTTGTGCTACTCTGCCAGCCCTGTTTTGTGTTGGGTGGGGGTGTCTCAAACTGTTTGCCCCTGCTGGCTTCAAACGGTGATCCTCCTGATCTCTGTCTCCTGGGTAGCTAGGATTATAGGCCTGAGCCACTGGTGCCCAGCAGATTTGTCTGCTTTTGTAGAAATGCCAAATTAATAAGAGATGTCCAGCTTGTGGAGGACAAAAAGATGTGAGCCAGCCTCATTCACTAGCTTGTTAGGTTGAGCCTAAAGGATAACCACATTTTCAACAGACAATAGTGGAAGATAGCATTTATCTGAAATGCCTGGGACCTTGTCCTGTTCCCAAGTTTCTGCCTTAGATATCTTTAAAACTTGAGATGATTAAACCAATCCATTCCATTATCTGTCTTTGGAAGATATTTTCTTAGGTTAGCGTTCTCATTTTGTAGATTTAAAGAGTGGAACGTTTACACTTAATAATACACATTTAATTCATTGAATTCCAAGTGTGTTAAGGTAATTGTCTCAGACACAGCACATTTATTTTGAGGGAGACTACTGTGATGATAGTTGGTATTGTGGCCATTCATTAATATTTGTAGTACCCCATTAACTCTGAAAAATGGCATCACTTTATGGCAAAAGGCACTCTTGACGTGTTATATCCATAGTAATTTGTTCTTTATTAGCATGACTAACAATGGATACTTTAAAAATTGTATCTTAAGAATTTAGTTCCTCTGAGGAAATCCTGCTTAAGTAATTTGTCTGCTAGAGTTGAGAAGAAAGTCACTGTACTACAACGCATAGATGAGGGGGGTGCCTAATGTTCCCACACCATCTCAAATTGTTTTCATGTAGCAGCAGAGTTTGTGAATTGGATTGGACGATAACCAAGGACCACAGCTACTTGAGTTGGGGGTGCCACTTAGCAGAGTTCTTACCAAAGGTATTCTTGTCAGGACTAACTGGATAGAAAAGGAGGAAAAGTGGGAAAAGGAAGAGAAATGGCATGAAGCTACCCCAGTGCCATTAACTACCAGGAAATCGAGCAAGAGATGGAATCTGGATTCTGGGAGGGGCAGGCTTTGTTCTGTTTGAATGATGAGATGTATTTGGTGTCTGTTTAATTTAGGCCTTTTAACCCATTCAGTACTTCTTAACAGTCAGAATTCCTTGATCAGGGCTGGAGATGTGGCTCAAGTGGTAGACCACCTGTCTGCTCTAAGACCCTAGTACCAAAAAAAAAAAAATAAGTAAAATTAAAAAGAAAAAGAAACCTCCAAAATTCCTTGTTCATTAGGCCAAGGAGGAGGCCCATGGGGTTAGTAGAACCTAAGAGAATACCTACTGTGCATTGAGGCGGAAGAGAGCAGAGAGAATGTAGCCTAGCAGGAATCCAGTGAAAGGCATCAGGGAAGAGGTGGTCAGCAAGTGTGGTGTCATGACATACATGATGCTCTTGCCAACATTGATGACAGAGAGGACTGTGACAGCTATGCTGAGCAAGAATGTGAGGATCATTCCTCCCTAGACATGAGGACAAGAAAAAAAAGGCAGTTAGAGGGGTGGAAGTAAAACAGGGTGGGGATTTTTTTTTTTTTTTTTTGGTGGAGGGAATGGGGTTTGAATTCGTTGGGAATTTAACAGGACATCGGTATTTGAAGTGGAAGGGACTATGAAACACCTGTCTTTCCAGATTTTTTTTTTTCTGGGTGGGGTAGGAGGAGGGCAGGGTCTTACTATTACAGTTCAGGCTGGTCTAGAGCTTGTAGTCCTGCAAGGATTATAGGATTATAGCTAGCTAGGTGGTGGGAGCCCCTATATCCAGCTCTTTTTCTTTTTTCTGATAGGACTGGGGTTTGAGCTCAGGGCTTCGTACTTGTAAAGCAGGTACTCTACTGCATGAGCCATTTTGCACTGGTTATTTTGGAGTTAAGGGTCTTGAGATTTATATACCTGGGCTGGTCTTGAACCGTGATCCTTCCCATCTCAGCCTCCTAAGTAGTTACATTACAGTACAGGCTTGAGCCACTGGTGCCCAGTTCTCTTTGGGTTTCTTATCAGTAGCTAGGAAAATTTGTAGGATAGAGGCTTGGCTAGCACTTTGATGACTAAAAGCTTCATAAGCACAGCTGTTTTTGACACATCTCCCAACAGATTTTCAGTGAAGTGCTGTAGTTCTGTAGGAATGAGACTACTCAGGCTTTCTAAAGCCATTTTCCAGTTTGTATACACATTCCTACAATACTGTTAGCTGTCACCATTCCAAATATGTTGGAGCTCATTAGAACTTGTCATACTTTTCTCAAATAGTCTCCGTTAATGGTATGGATTTCATTTTGGGGGTGTGAATTTGACTTCTGGAAACAGTCATTCAAAGCAAAGCTAGTTAAAAAAAATGGATCGGTTGAGCCAGGAAACAGTGTTTAGACCCCAAATGATGGTGTAACCATAAAGGGACAAGCCTATTTTCTTGAATGACCTGGGACAGAAGTTCTAAAAGGAGTTGCAGAAATGTCTTGAGTTGTACCACCATCATCAGAAATTTAGCAGGTCCTTCTTGCCACAGGTAAGTACTGTGAAAGCAACATTTATTGGAAACTGATAGGTTTTGCTTATTGTAAAAAATGACTTTATAGTTGCATCTTAGATGTACTATTAAACTTCCAGGAAGTTTTTATTTCAGGAAGTGAATATACCATAAAATGATAGATTTTCTTCAGTATGTAACAGTGGAATGAATCTTCCATGGAAGTCCATGCCCTTTCCATTTCCCAAGATACATTTTAAGAATGGCATGCTCAAAATGTAAACTTATGTGTGAATCTAAGACTGGTATCTTTAATCTCCTGAGTACAGGAATATATAGCAAAAAATTCTCAAACATAACCATGTTATATGTTGGTGCAGTTTCCAGTTCCTTCTAATGTAGCATTTTACATTTCTTAGTAACACTTGTGTATTTGCAGTGATAGCCTAGTAATTTTGTTTTGTTTTTGGGGGTTTTCTTTTGGCAGTGCTAGAGATTGAACCCAGGGCTTTGCACATGCTAGGTGTGTACTCTACCACTGAGCTAAATTTCCAACTGTTTACTAAAATTTTATCTTTTTTTTTTTTTTTTTTTTTTTTAATGACAGTGGTCTGGAACTTGCTTTGTAGCCCAGGGTAGCCTTGAACTCAAGATCCTTCTATCTCTGTCTCCCAAGTGCTCAGTTTACAGGCATGTATCATCATGCTCTCTAAACATTTATTTCTATAGCTCAAATTTCAGCTGCATGGCTTTATATTAACAGGTTTTGACGGTAATGGGGTTTGAACTCGGCATGCTTGCTAAGCAGGCACTCTACCTCTTGAGCCACTCCCCCACCCCTACATTTCTGTTTTTAATCCATATTGCAACTGATGTGATCACATAAAATATCACCTGTACCAACTAGTCCTATTCGAGATAGGAAGGACTTTCACAGGTCTCATTAATAACCACGTGCTTTGGTTTTTAGTAATAGACTTAATTTGGTGCATGCCTGTTAGCCCAGCATTGAGAGACTGAGAAAGGAGTATGAATTTGAGGCAAGCCTTGGTTGCATAGCAAATTCGATGTTAGTAACATAGGGAGATCCCATCTTAAAGACTGCTAACTAGTGAGCTTCCTAGTTTACTCTTATATTTTGAACTGATCAGCCCATTTGGATTTCATCTCTTGGATTTGTGTTCTACTCAATGACAAAATAGTTTTTACTCCCATCCAAAGATCAGAATGGGTAACCTTGGGACCTAGATTATAGGGAACTGTCCAGGAATCCAAAATGTGATGCTTCAAAATGTGCTTCTGTCACATGAGCCACCCTTGCCAGAGACCCAAACCAAATTGGGCCACCTGATATATTGGACTTGAACCTCCAGAACTGTGAACCAAAGTAAATCTCTTTGCTTGTGTGTCATTGCTTCCTTCCCATGAGACTATGTAACACGGGGGTGGGGAGGGCGTGGGGACAGATGTGCTTACCCTCATGATGTAGGATACATATTGTGGCCGTTTGGTTTTGAGGATTATCCCTATGGTGCAAGGAATAAGAACCATGACCAGTGATAGCATGATGCCTCCATAGGGCACCTTGTCCTTCAGGTTCCCATCATAGATCCCTCTAGAGTAGACATACAGCAGCAGAGGCATCAAGCCCAAGGCGCAGAAGGTGGAGCAGGTGGTCATCACAATGCTGGGTGGGAGACAAGGGAAGAGCCAAGAGAACCCATTAACACTCATGTTGACTGTTGGCTGTGTGCCAGGCAGACATTATGCTAAGTGCCTTATAAACATTGCACCATTTCCTTAGGTCAGTAAGCTGAAAAAACTTTTAAGAGTAGTGATAGACCCAAAATCACGGAGAAAGTAGTAGCAGAATCACTTTGAGCTGAGGCCCATCCAACTGCTTTGGTCACTATACATCTCACGAGGAAGGGAGTCATTCTGACTTTCTGTAATAAAACTCTGCTTTGAGCATCTGCCATATGTGCTTAACCCATTTTCATAAAACTGGTCCCATTACTTTTGACTAGCTCATAGTATCATGGACTTGCACTTGGCACACAGTTGCTGAATGTGACATACAGCATGGGTAAATAGATGCTTTGTCCAACACAGACACTAAATATTATGTCCAGTGCATTTTACCTCTTGGGAAGTTTTTGGAGATGCAGTAACAAAGTACCTGGTCTTAGGATAGCTTGAGAATGAGGCAGAAGCCAAAAAACAAAGCAGTTGGGTTAGGGGTGTACATGCTCAGTGGTAGAGTACTTGCCTGGTATGTACAAGGTGCTGGTTTTGATCCCCAGCACCACATACACAAAATAAGCTACAGTTAGGTTTGTAAAAAGTAATAGCACCAAAGCAGTAGAAATAATAGTTGAAAGATTGTAATGGTGGAGTAAGAATAAGCAATTGCCCAGATTAAAGTGGTATAATTTCATAGGAATAAAGTTCAATGTTTTTATGGATAAAAATTTCTAATTCTGAAAAGGATATCTAAAAATCTACGGCAAATATTAAGCATGGTGAATTAGAAAGATTTCCTACAAGGAATAAAGCAACAGTATATATTACCATCACTTACAAATTATGCTATAAGTAGGCTCTTACTAGTACAGCAAAAAAAAGAATATAGAGGTGGAAAAAAAACACTTTTTGCTATTGAAGAAATAAAACTTCATAGAAAAGTATGAAGGCCTAAGTAAAAGCAAAGCTATACCATATTCATGAATGGATGGAAAGACTTTTATAAGGATATAAAGATGCTCTCTAAATTTGTGTAGAAAGTCAATGGAAATTTAATCAAAATTCCAGAATTTTTTTATAGACTTGAAAGCTGATCCTAAGACTTAAGTGAAAGAGCAAAAGCGGTAACATTTTCAAGAAGTAGGGGAACTTACCATTCAGATATTAAAATATGAAGTCATTATAATTAAGAGAATGTGGAAAGATAGCCACATAGATCAACAAAAGAGATTCCAGACAAACTCATGCACAATTAATGAGAGGTGGGATTACAAGTTAATTGGAGAAAATTTTATTAAATGACAATGAGAATTTTCATGTTCACAGCATACATAAAAATCTAAAGATTTCCATTATGAAAAGCAAAGTAATTAAAACTTTTCAAAGAAAATATTGGAAATACCTTTGTAACCTTGCAAATTATAAAGGATTTCTTAAATCCCAATCCATAAATGGACAAAGAATATTGGTAAATTTGACTAAATTAGAAGAGCATTCTACAAGATATTACTATCAAAGTATAAAAACAAGTCCCCAAAATAAATAAAAGTCCCAAACTGTGAGCAAATTGTTACAACATACATAAATAACTTTGTAAATTAGCAATGAAACCTACCAAAATAACCACATTGAAGAAAGAATTTACTGGCAGATATGTGAATCCCATGCCCAGCAGTCCTTTTACCTTACACAATCTCACCTGGGAGCAAGGGGGCCATGCACAAAACCTTCCACAGAAACAGGACATGAAATATGAAGAAATACCTGACCACAAGCAGAATGGATAAATGCAAGCCAACTACACAGCCGTTCAAACGCACAAATGCCTAGCTCAACAAGTTGTCAAATGATGTGGGCAGTAGGAACTGTTGATATGAAATCTTAAAACATCAAGTAAGCAGTACATCTTATTGAGATTGTGTAGACCTCAACATGGTCCCTGGAAATGGCTGGACACCAAATCATGGAGGTGCGCCCTTCACAGAATGACCAAAGGAAAGGAGATTGAGGAGCACACAAGGCTTCAGTACTAGCTATTGATCTCTTCATAGAAAAACTGTTCTGGTGTCTGAGAGCAAGCAAGTTCTGCTTGCTTTGGCTTGATAAGTCTTGCTTTGGTAGCACCATGTTAGGATAAAAGCCACATTTGGTGTTTCCATTTTTCTTCCAGCTTTAGTTATTTTATTTTGAGATGGAGTTTCACTATGTTGCCCAGGTTGGCCTTGAACTCCTGGACTGAAATACCTTACCACATTAGGTGCCCACCTTAACTGGGATTACAGGCATGTACCACTGCACCCAACACCTTCTTGCTTAAATTCTGTATTGGTCCTGCATTTGGACATCAACACAATCTGTTTGAGAGGCTGGGTTTGCGCCTCTGTCAATGGAGAGACTGAAGGCAGGAGCTATAAGAAGATCCAGTACAGCCTCCATGGTGAAGTGGAAAACTTTTGGGAACCCTAATGGCTTCCATTTCATCATGGTTAGCCTTCCTACATTACAGTGGTGGAGACAAGGAATCCTTGGCTTGTGTGCAGGCCTTTTGTACACCCCTGCCTTTGGTTCTGGTCTCTGCTTCAGACTCAGTTGGGTGAGGGGAGCAGATGAGCTTGAGGGACAGAAGGGATGAGCAAAGGTTCTGCCTACAACCAGCCAAACTCCCTTTAACCTGCAGGGCCTTTTCTCACTGGTGTGTTGTGATGAAAAAGCTGCCGTGCTGCCTTGTAGGATCCACTGGGGCCAGGCCTCCTGTGATTGTTCGCTACCCTTGGACTTATTCCAGCTGGGAGGTAGAATAGTCAAGGGAGAGAGCCTGGGCTGGCTGGTTCTACACACAACTTTGCCACAGATTGGGGGAAACCCGTGGCAGGTTTCTGGACCTTCTACTTCCTCGTGTAAAATGGAATCAGTGTCTTACCGATTTCTCCCAACTGCATGTGCTCAAAAAGAAGCCTCAAAGTGGGACTTGGAGCTAAGGCCAAAATCTGTCCCTTAGACATGCATGCATTGTTTGGTTTACACAGTCTTTCAGACAAATTTGAATTGTCAATGTATAAAAATTTGGAGAGTCACATAAAAGTGAAGATTCTACCTTTCCTTGAAAAGCAGGAAGCTAGGACAGCAGCGGGCACTCCTCCCATTGATTACCTGCATGTGCCCTGATCAGCCCTTTGAGGTTGGCAGGTAGCCTGCAGCCACTTTGTTTGTGAACAGCCTGACCCTGAAAAATATTTGAGTAAAAGCATAGGCTCTGGAGCCAGCCAGACCTTGAGCAGAGGTATTAAGATCTCTAAGATTTGGCTTCCTCATCTCCAGATATGACAAGTTACAGCACTCCTGCTGTCTGAGGCTCCCAGGCACTTATCCAGGTAAAGTGTGTAGCACAGACTCTTACTATCACTGTTGTTATTATAATACTTGTAACAAGTTGACCCAAGTGAACTCAAATTGGAATTTGAACTCTGGCAGTGCATAATGGATGGTAAGATTCATGCTCTGCCAGTGGGGTCTGAGGCCTGAGTTAATGTGCATGAGAGGGTTGTCTGTAGGGGAAGGGACTTTATGAAGAAGGTGGCTGCACCATCAGAGTGTTACCTCATGCGGGGTCTCAGGAGCAGTGACAGTCCCCAGGTGCCTGAACAAGGAGACTGAGTAGCAGGGCACGAGGGATCACATTCCTGGGTCATCGGAGGCTCTGCCCAGTGGGGTCCTTGAACTCAGAAGTGGGTACTGTTGGAGAGGCCCTCATTAGCACCCACTGGCTGTTGAGGCCTGGTCATCTATCTGGTCACTGACACTTAAAAGCTCACTCATTGTCACCCTGTCCCCTCCAGTCTGCTGATTCCACAGACACACAAGTCCCTCAGAGAGCCTCTTCCCTTACACCTGACTGCTGCATTTCTTTTGCACTGAAATGGAGGTATGTCTGGCTTTCTTGGGACACAGGGGCGGTGGCAAATCTCATGCATAGGCCAGATCAAAGGCCATGGACTTGCTTTACAGCAGGAAGTATTTGGATTGGACAGGGAGAAGAATTTCCTCATAGTGAGGTGATCAAATATTGAACTATTCCCCTGGGAGACTGAACAAGTCAAATCCCTGCTTGTGCCTCTCTGCCTATCGACTACCTCAGGGAAGGTTGAATCATTGATAAACAGTCCAGAACTTTCTAGACTATAGATTCTGGCAAGACCCCAACTCATACTCTTGGTCTTTTCATTTAAAACTTGGCAGCAGCAGCAGCAGCACCACCAACAACAACAATAAAATGGGCTGGAGAAATAGCTCAAGTGGTAGAGTGCTTGCCTACCTACCATGTGCAAGGCCCCAGGTTCAAATCCTAGTACCATGGATGTGTGTGGGGGGAATGTGTCCCAACAACACACACACACACACACACACACACATCTCTCCCACTGTCACTTTGCATCACTAGACTAGACTTCTTGGTTAGTTTTCTTCACTAAGTTTGGCCAGGGTACTCATTGATGCAAGCAGATGGACTCTGAATTCCCTGCTTTATCTGGCATTGAATAGTGTCTATAGAGGACAGAACCAGAGGAAACTGGCTTAAGGCTGAGGCTTAGATAAAAGCAAGAGCTGTGTGTGTGATTTCTCTTCAGCCCTGGAGCAGGTCTGAGATGGCCGCCTCTGGCAATCAGGACTAGAGCCATACATTTTTAGAAGGACAGTTACTTAACCAGCACCTGTGTGTAAATGGTCCAGGAGACAGGCTTTGTTGGTTTCTGCTCAGGGTGCTGGGCAGGGAGGGGCTGTTGCTAGTCTTCTCCCTACCAGTTGGGCTGAGGTGGGGCCCAACTTAACCTGGGCAGGTGCTGGGAACTCCAGAGTCTACTTAGTGTGCCTTTGCACACTGATAGCAGGTGACAGTTCTTAAAGGCAAGATACCACAGATGGACAGATACTTAGGACAGCCTTTTGGAATTCTTTCCTGCTTTGTAGGACTTGGAGGAGATCACTTACTTCCAAGTCACCTTGATCTCTCTGGTGATGTTCAGAACCCATCACATCCCCTTTCAGATCTCTAGCCTCAGAACCAACAACTTGCACCCCAGCTACGTGGGAGTAATTCTCCAAGGACTCTGGTTGAAATCACTGCTCCTTTTAGGCAATGCTTGTGTCCCATTTGAGACACCTCTGGACTGGCTTGGTGCTTAAACTAAGGTGGACCCCAACCCCTAGCCCCAGCCCAGCATAAGTTCTTGGCGATAAATCCAGCCCTCAACCCACCCAGCATCCACGCAGCCACCACTCCCTGGTTTCAGTTCAGTTCTTCCCCTCAATTGTTGAATCTCCATGGTGACCCTGTCCCAGGCTGCTCCCTCCTCACCCCTAGTCCTACCTGAGGTTCATGTCTCCCTTCACGGCCAGACTGAAGAGGTTGGACAGGTTCCCCCCAGGTGAGCAGCCACAGATCAGGATGGCCAGCGCCTCAATGTTGTTCAGCTGGAAAACCTTGCCCACCACAAAGGCAGTGAGGGGCATGATGCCGTACTGGGCCACCATGGCGATGGCTAGCCCCTTAGGCTTCCAGAAGTGAGCCTTGATCTTGCTGAACTCCATAGTGCAGCCCAATGACAGCATGACAGTCAGTAGCATTATCACCAGGATCACGCTCAGCGCCATGTCCGTGGGGCGCTTGCCAAAGCCAGGGGGCATGGAGAAGTTGAAGGGGGCAGATACATTGTGCACCTCCATTCTACTGGGAGGCAGTGAGGACCACCTTTGTTCCCTGCTTGTCCAGTTCTTGCTGGATGTCTTCTTTCGCCACCTCTCAGGACAGAGTTTCTGGACAAAATGTAGCTCTGGACAAATAGAAGGATTATGCAACTAGCTGAGCTGTTTCTCTGGTTGTGACTCCCAAAGGAAGGGAGCCCAGAGTTTTATCTGCCTGGCTTTCCTTACCTCTCCCAAATTTCCTGACCTCTGCTACCTGCTGGGTCCTGCTCACATGCCTCCATTGCCTTTTATCTGGCTGCTTGTGGGACTGAGGGCTTCTTTCTCTCCTCCCATCTTGCACTGAGCACTGTTCCTGGGACCAGCCCAGGGTCCACACTAACCTGGGTCCAGCCTTTCTCTTTGCTTAGAGCTCCTGTTTCTTGCTAAGTCCTTGGTGCCTCAGGTTCTCCATTGGGGAAGGAGTCCCCTCATGCTCAATGAATTATCATTTGTCCCCAAAACTCACTGGAATGAAACATGCTGGCTGCTATCTTTGTATCCTGCATGAAAGTGGCAGGGCCTGTAGGTTGTAGAGCAAGGTAGGGGCAGGCAGTGGTATTGCTTCCAGATGGGATGACCCTCCTGGGAGTCGAGGATGGCATAACGTTCTTACCTGTGCTGGAGAACCTTGTCTTATCTGCACACCTGAGCTGTATGGGTATTAGGGGGGACACTTGTGGTTCCCTGCAGTGCTTAACTCCAGAGGGAAGAACCCTTTGGGGAAGTGGATGGACTCTTGAGAACTTGGAGACTTTTGCCCCTAAGGGCAGCTTAGAGGAACCCTGGCTGTGGAGGAATTTGTGCCCAAGGAGCCCCATCACTTGGGAACTTTGCCGAGAAGGAAGCAGGGATGAACAGGCTTTTCTTTCTGATCCTTAACTGCTCTACTTTTGCACCAGGCCTGTGTGTCTCAGGCTGGGAGCCAGGTTCGCAGTGTGTAGCAGCAGCAGTAGAGAGGAGCAGGCCTGGCTGTCCTGAGCCTTGATCTTTCTGTCCCCACTATAGGGTGAACAAAGAGTGAGTCCTTTGGAAACAGTTGACTCTGGTTGGTTGGAACCTACAGGTATGGGTTGGGCCTTGGAGTTTCCTCTTTGCTGCGCCAGACTTTTGTGTCTAGGACTCTATAGGACAGAACAGGAACAGGGAGCAAAGCACTCATGGGGTAGGGGGTGGCCACAGATTTTGGCTTAGGGTTAGGGATTATCTGAAACTGAGAGGTCTCCAGCAATGGTGTCTCAGGTCTCTGATCCTGCCTAGGTAAGTATTGGATAACAGCATTCATATACTCCCCTTTGTATGCACGAGAAGGCTGATGTATCCCTGTAGTTATGGAGTGCCTCGCATGTACACAGTGGTTCTGGGTGACCACAGATCGAAGTCCTTTCCCTCAGAGAGCCTCCACTGTTAATGATTTCCTGATTCTTGAGTTAAACTGGTCTTAAGGAAGGTCAGGTGAAGGCTCGGTACTGGATACTGATGGGAAATGTGTGGTTCTTGAACTGAGCCTTCCCAGAGGGCCGTGGGAGGCCCAAAGGAGGCTGCTGTCATCTCCTGGAGTTAGTCAGAAGAAGCCCTTCCTGAGTTGCTGGGGGAGAGTGCCGGGTACTGTGGAATAAAATATGATATAATCTGTGTTTCTGCTGTCAAGGACCTTATGGTGCATCTGAGACCACAGGTGGACAAAGGGTACAATGCAAAGCAAAAAAGCCCATGGAGTGGAGGTCACACAGGGCTGCCATATACAGTTGTGTAGGCTATGCACTGCACAATGCGAGAAATATTATTTATGCAGACATTCTGGGCAACCTCACATAGGGCCTTGAGACCACAGAAAGGTAATTTTTACCCATCTGCCTGACATGTAAACCCACGAGTTATCTGTTAAAGTACCAGAGTAATTCATCTGTTTTCTGTTCAAGATCAGAGCCTTGGGATGTATCTGTTGGTCATATTGTGTTTATAAAGCCATTTAGTGTTGTGTCCATTCAGGACTCTTCAACTCTTCTCAGAAAGCCAGACTTCTACCCCCACTGCAGATTTTTCCCTCTGGAAATTTTGGGGCAGGAGCATCTTGTGTTGTATTAATGCATCCTATGTGGCGGGCACACACACACATTAAATTTCTTTAATAAGAAATTACATTAAATAAGAAATTACATTTAAATAAAAAATTACATTTTTTATTTAGTCCTCACAACAATCTTATGAAATGGATACTATTGCTATCCTTGATTAATTTTAATGTTAAGACAGGATCTCACTATGTAGCTCAGGCTGGCCTCAGAGATCTCTTACCTCAGCCTCCCAAGTTCTGGGATTACAGGTGTGTGTCATCATGCCTGGTGCTACGGATTAGTTAGGAAAGGCCCAGAGAGATTATACTTAATCTCTTGCCCAATTCCCACAGCTAGGGAGTGGTGGAATTGGTCTTCACACCCACCTGGCTCCATGCCCCACCTGCTCTGCTACACCATTTGCCCCTCCTCTCTCCCTGACTACTTTGTGTTTTGAGACCCAGGATTTGGATTGGCAAAGTCCCTGTGATTGTAAATTTGTTTCAGACTGGCCCACACTAGTTCTTTCAAGCCACACAGCACTCAAGCAGCTCACAGGGCAGTGGTGGCTGAGAGGATTTGCTTACAGGCTACACTCAGTTATCCCCCATATTCCGCGGCCACCTCCCTGTTGATGTCCAAGAAAAAGCAGATTGCCACTTGTGAACTCCTTCTTAAGGAGGGAGTGAGGACGTCCACATGCACAAGCCCCAGGGCTGGCAGATGAGAATGTGCTCAACTTGCAGGTCCTGAAGACTGTGTGTTCTCTCAAGTCTACAGGCTACGGAGGGAACAGTTTGCTGGTGACACTTCTACCCATACCTGACCAATGAGGGTGCCTTTGTCCTCCATCTTTCTCCCACTGCCCTGAGGCTATGTTTGCCACCCTGCACCACAGCTGCCTAGGACTGGCAGGCTTGGCTGGAGAGCATGGAGGGAGAGGGATCTGCAGTACTCACAAGAGAGGAAGTGACAAAGACCCAGTGCTGAGCCCCTGGTGCCCACAAAAAAGCAGAGACTGGGGCTGGGTCAGCAACTGAATTCCAGTTTACATGTGGATTGGGCCGTGGACATGCCAGTCACCTCAGTAAAGTTTGGACAGGAGTATTTTGTGTTGAATAAATCTGTAGCCAGAAACAAACAAACAAAAATGTTGGATCGGTGCAGTGGCTCACATCTGTAATCCCAGCTGTGTGGGAAGTGACGATTGAGAGGATCATGGTTTGAGGCCAGCCTAGGCATAAAGTTTTTGAGATCCCATATCAGCCAATGGCTGGGCACTGCAGGACGTGCCTGTCACCCCGGCTAACAGAAAACATAAATAGGAGGATCATGTTCTAGGTCCCCCCAGGAATAAATGTGACCTTAGTAAAAATACTTAGAGCAAAAAGGGCTACAGGTGTGGCTCCAGTGATAGTGCTCCTGCCTAGCAAACACAAAGCCCTGAGTTCAAATCTCAGTACCACCAAAAATAGTCTTCAGTCAGCCACTGTCCTTGACCCCACAATCCGCTGGTAGAATTTTAAGCTGAAAAAAAGGACAATTTTAAATGGGTTTTCATACCAGGGTTTTCGCAATTGAATCACTGGAAACAACCCAAATTTCTATTAATAGGTAACTAGTGATGACCTATTTAAAAAACACCACCATTCTTTTTTCCCCCCTTAACTTGTTCCTTCTTTTATTTTAAAATTTGTTATTGTTGTGCTGGGTGGGGGTACATTGTGGCATTTACAAAAGTTCCTACAATGTATCAAATATATCATACTTGAATCCACCCCTTCACCATTCTTCTTTATCCCCCTCCCCTGATTCCTGGAACAGTTTCAACAGATCTCATTTTTCCATTTACATACATGTATACACAGTATTTGCACCATATTCACCCTCCTCCACCCTCCTCTCCCTTTTCCACTGGTACCACCCCCCACCCCAGGCAGGACCTGTTTCACCCTCCTGTTCTCCAATTTTGTAAAAGAGAAAAAAAAACCTGACATTTTTGCTTGTTTAAGATAACTTCATAGGGAGTTTTCTTGTGGGACTTCCATATATGTGTGTGTGTGTATATGTGTATATATATATATATAGAGTCTGAATTGGTTCACCCTCTATATTTTTCTTCTTTCTACCTTAGTCCCTTTCTTATGGTGGTTTCAACGATTTTTTTTTTTTTGAGGAATTGGGGCTTGAACTCAGGGTCTACACCTTGAGCCACTCCATCAGCCCTTCTTTTGTGATGGGCTTTTTGAAGATAGGGTCTTGAGAACTATTTGCTCAGGCTGGCTTTGAACCACGATCCTCCTGATCTCTGCCTCCTGAGTAGCTTGGATTACAGGCATGAGCCTCTGGCACCCAGCTCAACAAGTTTAAAAATTCTATATTTATTCTTGTATAGAGAGTACATCAACCATATTCACCTTCTTAATTTCCTTCTTTTACCTTCCCCGTCTCATATGTGACCTCCCTTTAGTGTGACCTGTTTTTCATAATATTGCTTGTATTTGTTCTAGGTCTATAGCTCCCATATTAGAGAAAACATTTGGCTTTTGGCTTCCTAAACCTAGCTAATTTCACTTAAGATGATGTTCTCCAGTTCCATCCATTTATCTGCAAACAACAATATTTCATTCTTCTTTGTGGCTGAATAAAAATTCTGTTGTATATAAGTACTATATTTTCTTGATCCATTAGTCAGTAATGGGGCATCTTGGCTGTTTCTATAACTTGGCTATTGTGAATAGTGCTGAAATAAACATGGGTGTGCAAGTGTCTTTATTGTAACCTAACTTACATTCCTTTGGGTATATCTCTAGGAGTGGTATAGCTGGATTATATGGCAGATCTGTTTTTAGTTTTTTGAGGAGCCTCCATACTGTTTTCCATAGTGGTTGTACTAATTTACGTTCCCATCAGCAGTGTATGAGGGTTCACTTTTCCCCACATCATCGCCAACATTTGTTGTTGGTGGTGTTCTTGATGGTAGCTATTCTAACAGGCGTGAGGTGGAATCTTAATATGGTTTTGATTTGCATTTCCTTTATGGCAAGGGATGTTGAGCATTTCTTCATGTGTTTTTTTTGTTTTTTTTTTTTTACCATTTGGACTTCTTCCTTTGAAAATACTCTGTTCAGTTCATTTGACCATTTCTTCATTGGATCATTAATTTTTTTGGAGTTTAGTTTTTTGAACTCCCTGTGTATTCTTGTTATCAATCTCTTGTCAGATGGATAGCTGGCAAAGATTTTCTCCTATTCTGTGAGTTGCCTCTTCAATTTAGAGACCATTTCTTTTGTTGTGCAGAAGCTTTTTAATTTCATGTGGTCACATTGGTCAATCCTTTCTCTTAGTTGCTGAGCCATTTGGGTTTTATTTTGGAAGTCATTCCCTGTGCCTATTAATTCCAGTGTATTTCCTGCTCTTTCCTGCACTAGTTTTGAAGTTTCAGGACCTTAATCCACTTTGCGATGATACTTGTACAAGGTGACAGGCATGGATCTACTTTCAGTTTTTTTGCATGAAGATATCCAGATTTCCCAGCAACATTTGTTTAAGAGGCTGTCTTTTCTCTATAGTATGTTTTTGGTGCCTTTGTCAAAAATCAAGTGGGTGTAGCTATAAAGAAGACCCACATCTGGGTCTTCAATTCTGTACCACTGGTCTTCATATCTGTTTTTGTGCCAGTACCATGCTGTTTTTATTGGTATGGTTCTGTAGTAAAGTTTGAAGTTGGGTATTGTGATACCACCAGCTGAAGCTAAAGCTGTTTATGGTGTCTAGGAGTTTTTTGGTGAAGTTTTTCTGGTCTTTTAAAGATAAGATCATATTATCTATAAATAAGGATAGTTTGACTACTTCATTTCCAATTTATATTCTGGAGCATCTTTTTCTCACTCCTATTACTCCTGAACCTAACTGTGCTAACTGGGTGCAACGGGAGATGCAGAAATGACAAACGATAGACAAACAGACATGCAGAAAGTTGGGGTCAGGTGTGTTGGGTGCTTGGATGGAGGCACAAAACAGCCTCATTGCTTCTTTTCTCTATTATTCTTTATTCTTTAAGGCCTTACTCCTTTACAATTCTTTAAAACCTTGCTTCTAAAATCTTCTTTTCTATTCTTTAAAATCTTTTTTCTTAGACTCATTCTGTCTCATGTTTTCTCTTAACTTTTCTTTAGCATAATCTCTCTTAAAAGTCTTTGCCCTCAGACTTGCACTGTCCTATCAGACTTGCACTGTCCCATGTTCTCTTTAGCTTAGCTTTTCTAAAGCCTATGTATAAAGTTCTCGTGCAGAAAGCTGCTCTGGTGGAGACACATCAGCCAGCGTCAGTGGCAGTCAATCAAAATCCCCCATCAAAAAACCTTGCGTCCTCCTTCAGCCAGTCTTTTATATCCAGTGGTAAACAAGGAGATAGAGCAACAGTTCTCTGGGAGGGGAGTGACATTGTAACAAGAGAAACCTGTGTTCCTACTTCTCTGAATGTAAACAACTTAGGAAAAGCAGCTACACTGCCTCCTGCACTCTTCTGTGGCTGGGGCCATGCCAAACTCAGCGTGCTGATATTGGGCACAGCTGTGCTTATGTCAAGTTCTGATAGGCTTCTCATAATCCGCTCCCCACAATATTCCTTTTATTTCTTTTTGCTCAGTATTGCCTTGGCTAGTTGAGGTCTTCTGTGCTTCAAAATGAACTTTAGGGTTGACTTTTCAATCTTTGTGATGAATAGCATTAGAATTTTTACGGGAATTGCATTGAACATGTAGATTGCTTTTGGTAGTATAGCCATTTTTACTATGTTGAGTCTACCAATCCATGAGCATGGGAGATCTTTCCATCTTTTGTAGTCTTCTTTGAGTTCCTTCTTCAGTGGTTTACAGTTTTCCTTGTACAGGTCTTTCACATCCTTTGTTAAGTTTGTTCCTAGGTATTTTATTTTTTTGAGGGCATTATAAATGGAATTATTTTCCTATGTTCTTTTTCAATCTGTTCATTGTTGGTGTATAGAAAGGCTACTGATTTTTGTAAATTGATTTTATATCCTGCTACATT